TTTTAATATCAAATAACTTTTTATAAATTAATTTATTTAAAATAATTTTGCTATTAAAATATTCTTCTCTTTAAGATAATTCTAACAAGTATAAAATCATCTAAATTAGATTACAGAATTATAAGATATTGTGCTATCAAATAATGACATGTTTTTTTATAAGTTTGATAGTGTTAAACCCATTAGAAGATGCATTATTATTTGATAACACAATATCTCATAATCTAATTTAGATGATTTTATACTTGTTAAAATCATCTTAAAGAGAAGAATATTTTAATAGTAAAATTATTTTAAATAAATTAATTTATAAAAAGTTATTTAATATTATTTGATATTAAAATTTTAAAAAAATTTATTCTAATTTAAAATTTCTCAAATCAGCCAATATGCAAAAGTTGTAGAGCTTATTAAGATATATCTAACAGTAGTAAGAATATTAAAATTGGCCTTGTAGTTCTTGAGAAATTTTTAAAAAATATTTTACTAATATATAAGATTTCTTTAAAAAAATAAAGAAAATTTATATATCAGTAAACCATTTTTTAAAGATTTTTCAAGAATTACAAGGCCAATTTTAATATTCTTACTATTATTAGATATGTCTTGATGAGCTCTATAACTTTTGTTAAAAACTTAAAAATGATTTATTTAATAAAAAAAAGGGTTTAAATTAGAATGCTCTACATTTAGTTTAATAGTAAAATTTATTTATAAAAATTTGCAAATTTTTTTCAGATAACAGATATATTGTCTATTAAACAAAATTATTTTTTTAATTAAAATAGCTTTAGTTTTATAGAACCAAATTAGTGATTGTCTTAATAAAATTTTAAGAAAATAGCCTCTGAAACTATAACTTTTCAAATTTTAACTATTTATAAATAATTTCAAATAAAATCAAATATTTGATCTTTTAATTTGAATTTGATTTGATTTAAAATCTATATTTAAATTTGATTTAAAATCAAATATTTGAATTAAATCAAATCAAATACAGAACCCTAACAGTATAGGATAGCTAAAGATATCTATTTTTTTAAAAAATACCAAATTTATAATTATATAATTAAATATAATTGGCTAATTTTGTTTACTAAATTTTAATTAGTTAAAAATATATATAACCATTTTTTTTATATATTAAACATCAAATTTTGGATTATATATAAACTTTAACTTCTAAAAACTTTTAAATTTTATAATAAAAATAAAAATCTATTTTAACAAAATTGTAGCTTAAACTAAAAGCAACAAATTTGTAAAACAGATTTTTTTTAAGTTATTTGTTTTTGAGTTATAAGCCTTTTATATTTTATACAGTACTAGATAGCAAGAAATATCTACTTTTTATATATAAATATAAAATGCTTATAATTTACAAACAAATAAATTTAAAAAAAATCTGTCTTACAGATTTGTTGCTTTTAGTTTAAGCTACAATTCTGTTAGAATGGATTTTTATTTTTATTATAAATTTAAAAATTATTAGAGTCTAAAGTTATTATGTAATCAAAATTTAATGTTTAATATATAAAAAAAATTGGTTTAATAGATTTTTAACTAATCAGAAACTTGTTATACAAAAATAGCCAATCAGATTTGAGTCTAAATCTCAAAATTTGGCACTTTTAAAAAAAGTAGATATTTCTTACTATCTTGCACTATATATAAAAAATAAATATCTTTAGCTATCCTATACTATACTAATATTTATATAATTTTTTTGTTTTTATAATATATATAAAGAACTGATATTTCTACACCCATATAGGATCCTGCCACACCTCTGTCATGTGACGTTATATACTGAATAATATTTTACAATTATCAAGTAAAATATGCATATCAATATCAAATAAAAATATACATATCACTCTGGTTAGACCAATATTTGGATATTTGACTATACAAAAATCTTCTAGCATTTTCAATTTATGAAGATCATTCATCTTCTTAACCAAATAGTTCAAAATATTTTCTACGATAATTTTTTCTTCGATTTCTGGACTTGTAATACAAAATTTATATTACTATTGCTCAAAATTTTGTATTTTTAGCACTGTTTTCTTATTTTACTTTTATATACATTACATATCACTATATAGCATGTTATATATAATCACGAATATAAATAAATAACAAAATCATCTAACTAATCTAGATAACAGTATATCTCAATTATCATTCTACATATATAGAATTTATCTAATTAACGACACTAATATAGCAAATGTACAACTTAACTCTAGATCTAGTCTCTATCTTATATTAGGCCAAGTAATTACAATAACATAATGCGGTTATAGATTAATTTCTTGAAATCTATTTTTCTGAAATATCAAGTGCACAAATACATGGTATGGTCTCAAGTTATAGATAAATACTATTAAGTATTACAGTAATAAAGAGAAAATTAAGTTATTAATAAATATTGTCTTGGAAATTTTAATAATATGCTTATGATACTTCTCTTTAATCTATAGTATTTATAGTTCTAAGCTCTATTATTTCTATTAGTATTCTAAACCATGAATTTAAATTAAATTTTTGAAGGTTTTTAAAATCCTGATATAAAACAATTAGATGGTGGATACTGATTATTTATTAAATTATTATTGTGTGATTAGAAGATATTATTTATACAAAACTAAAGAATATATAGAATTTTCTTTAAAATGCTTTATTTAAGCTACTAATACATGAGTATATAGACATATATATCAAAATCTTGTAGGACCCTACAATCCAATTAACAGAGCAGTCTGCACAATGAATACTATCTGTGATACAAATAAAAATAATTCATGCTTTATATAGTGTAAAGAAGTAAATAATCATAAGTGAAGTTCTATAGTTTGCAAAGTGAGTCAGTTATATTTTCTTATGTAGGTGTAAGAAGAAATTTATTCTTAAAATAGTCCTTGTACTGCTATTTTTTTATGTAGATGTAAGAAGAGATTTATTCTTAAAATAGTCTTTGTATTGCTATTATAGCTATAGAGCCAAATTACAGAAAAGAAAAGGTCTTTGTACTGCTATTGCCGCTACAGAGCTTGTTTTTTATCTTTATTTTATTTAAAAAACTCTGTTGTTTCTCAGTATACAATTGCTTCTTATCTGAAGTTTGACAGATAAGGAAGGAGCGATAGAGCTAGCCTTTACAAGGTGAGCGATAGTGGGCAGAAAAATAACCTTCTTTTACTAATGCAAGAACAAATCAGGAATAATCACATTTCTTCTGCATTATTTATTTTGCATCTAAGACCATAACTATAATCTTCTTACTTCTATAATCAATTTACTAATACTCATGCAATTTAAATTTAAATAATCATATTTCATAAAAAAAATAACCACATAAATGCAAAATATGTTTACTCGATTGTAAAGCATATATAATATATATTTAATAATTGTATATAAGATATATTAAGTATTGTTATACTATAGATATTTGTTCTAAATCTATTTGGTATATGATTAGATGATGTAAAAATATTTTGTTTTTTATTGTTTTCTTAAAACTAAAACTCTATAGTATGTGATTATCCTAAAATTAATAGTAAGATTTAATAAAAAGGTTATTTTTATAAATCCAAAAAAACTTTGAATTTTTACTTACTATACGGTTAGAACATGTTCTACAATTATAGCTAATTTCTTTACATATTCTGTATTTTCAGCTATTTATATTAGTTTTATTTAATTTGAATGCTAACGGATCTCTCCTGGTAGAAGATTGAGACTTGTTATATAAGCCAACTAGTTGCCCTCTAGTACACTGTACTATTGGATCCAATAATGGTGTAAATGATATTTTAACTAATTCAGATAACTTATCTTAAGTAGTAGCTTGTTGAGGAGCTGACCAAGAAGCATATTCATGACTAAATTCTTGCAATAATTGTTGTAATGAATGTTTCCCAGTTTTGAGCCTATTTGGCAAAAGTAATTGAGAATGTTCAATATGCCAGTGTTGATAAATATTGTCAAGGTCTAATATTTGATTTTTAGCAAGTCGTTCTTGAATAGTATGGGCACATGGAAGGTCTATAAATGTACTGAAAGTATTACTGCAAGGCTCAAGTGGATTATTAGACATTGTATATATAGCTTTAAGATAATTTTTCTTAATGCGAATGTAGAAACTTTAGTGATTAATTTAGCATAAAAGAGACTATTTTGAGTATGTGGAATGCGAACTTTGTCCTAAGCAGCCATTGCTTTAATTTCACTATATTGGTTTTCTACTAAGAGCAAAATTTTTTTATATACTATATGCAAGTTACCTGTTGAAACTTGCAAATATTTTTTTAATACCAAATATATACTTTTTATACAAGATGTAGTTGTATTGTCTAAATGGAGATAACAGTTGGTCCATGCATTAACAAATTGTTTTTTAAATAGAAGCCAAGTATCTTGAATATAATGAATTGCTAATTGATTCTTATTGTACTTGAAACAAAATTCTGTCCATTGTATATTAAAGCTTTCTTCTATATTCGATTTTATTATTTTAGACCAATGATTAAAAATGTTTCTCATTTTTCACCAGTATTAAAATAATTTCTACACTTGGCTAAAACATTTTTCTCTATGTGCCATATACAAAGAAGATTTTTCAAATCTGGAAATATTTGCTTAAGTGCATATACAAGTACCAATTCATGATCAGTTAAAATAACTTTGGGTTTCTCAATTCCATGAAATAAATAAGATACCTGTGTAAGAGCTCACAAATAATCATCTTCTTTCTTCTCTTTAATAAATATAAAACATGAAAAAAATGTTGTATTAAAATATGTTACTCTGATGATATTAAGAAGAGACATTTTGAATAGATTTGTTTTATAAGTGCAATTTATCAATAAAACTGAAAGATAGCTATGTGTTAATTCAACAGATTTAGAATAAGAAAAGAAGAGATATGTTATATGCCTATTACTATCACATTTGTAATTATATTTAAACTGCCCATCCTCAAGTTCCTTTACAAGTGTCTGAATAGGTATTTTACCTTGTAAATTTTCTAAATAAACCTTCTTATGAACATTATATATATCACATAATGTGGTAGAAATTGAAGGATCATTCTGCCACAAAGATATTATTATTTACAAAGAATAAACACCAGCTTTTGTCATTTTATTTAGTCTTTCTTGTGCCTTTTTGTTTAATTTTTGAAGAGATGGATGTGCTAATTTATCATCTGACGGGTCATGATTATACGTCAAATTAATGGGAGATAAAATTCATATATTATCATTGTTTTTGATATCACAGACTATAAAAGAGCATTCTATTAGTCTGAAACTTGTTCTTTTTTTGCATGTCTTATCTGTATAGTTTAAACAGTTTCTGTATTTGCCTCTACAATCACAACCTAAATATACTTTATTCTGCTTTGATCTTGCAATAGATATACTATATCCATTAGAGACACAAAATAAATATATATACTCAATCAACAATTTACAGTTTGAGAATTAACTAGTGGAAGTAAATGCAAACATATATAATTAGGAAGTTACTTGTTTGTAAAAAATTCAAAAATATTTTATCAATTTTATAAAAGAAGTTAACTCTTTATATAAAAATTTGCTACGCCTTTATAATTTAACTATTACTAACCTATTATATAAAATTTATATTTACTATACTATAGAGTGAAATCATAAAATATCAAGCTATAATTAAATATTTGAAATGATAAAATTACATATGTTAAAAATTTTAACTGCTATGCTGTGATCTATTAAAAAATTAATTGAATATAACAATTAAGTATTATCTATTTCTGTAGTCTCATCACTAAATACAAGTACAGGTTTTATAAAGCTCATTTTATTCAAATATATTTTTATACTATTCTTGTTATATCAGTTTTCCTTTTAACAAATAAAATCTAATATTATTTTCTCTGCACTTTATATAGTAATAAATATATTGATATTGTTATTACTTATCAAATAGATGTTTTGCACTCACCAAATCATAGTCTCATGACTATATAGCAATAATCTTGCCTGGTGATTTTGATGTTATACTCAATTTTTATGATTTTAGGATAAAAAAGACTAATAACAAATTGAGTTTTCTATATTGACCTTTGTCAAAGCAGTGGTAGTTGCAGAAAATCTAGCTTTATTTGCATCACATCTGCTCTAATTACTAGTATTTATAGCACTTTTCAAAGTAGAATAATCATGACAAAATATATTATGAAGTATGTAATCACTTGCTCTTCTGACTCTATTATATAATCACTTAGTATAACTAATAATTTTAGAAGAGATTGGTAATTACATTTGTATTTTGTAAATATTTTCTGTTATAACTATTCTGCTTACTTTCATTTTAATCGATTATATTACATGATAATTATAGCGATCTGTAATAATTATCGAATATAATGATTACTCAAAATTTATATTAACTATATTAGTAATATTTATGGTGTTAAAATTCATAACAATATTGGTTACAATGAGAAAGTTTATTTCTTTATCTTAATCAAATAATGTTTTGCTTTTAAATCTTATTTGTTGCAAGTATATCCAAAAGACTCTATATATTGAGTCTAAAGTAAAATATTAAAAGCTAGATAATGTGAATAGAAATAACTTTATATGAATTTATATAAGATGAGTAAGCTAGCACAAAATTTGAGTCAAAGAAAAACTGTAAGATTCAAAGAACTAGTATAGAAAAATCAAAATATTTTGCTAGAATTTATCATAATTTTATTTGACTTGATGTTGTACAGAATTTTTGTTATAGGTCCTTTACCATTTTATGAATACAACTTATCTTTGTTTTAGTAATTTCTCAATATAATGAAGATTCAATATAGCGAAAGATTTTGAATTATGAAATTATTCAACTCAATATAGTGAATTACATATAGTAATCTCTCAATATAGGCTATAGTAAAAATTTTTTTCAGCTTAACGACTTCACTATAACAAGAGTGAATTGTATATAGTATATTTTTTTCCTCTAACTTTTGTATGTCATAGCTTTATATTACTCTAATTTTAGTAATTGATAGCTTTAATTAAGCGACAAGAATATATATCACATTGTCATTTTGGTGAATAAATATTTGGTGCCTAAATGTCAATAGGATTAGAGATTAATCATTAAAAGATAAAATTTAATCAGCAGTATAGAAAGGAAATAAATAATATCTAAAGGTTGTAAGTGATACATATCTTTAAAGTAGCTTTATTCAAACACATTAATAAAAGATTTTTGAATTTAATCTACTTGTATTTAGAATTATCTATAGCTTCTCTTATATTTTTGTATAACGTGTTATTTATAAACTATAAATAGACTTGTAATTTGACTCAAATATATCAGTATTTTTGTTTGTTATTTGTTTTGTATACTATTGTATATTTGTATAAGTTAAAAGAACTTTGTATTATTGAGTAGCAGTATTTTATATTTGGTATTAGTATTAAAGCTAGTTATTGTTTGTGATTGTATATAACATGCTAAAAATTTTGAGCAATAGTAATATAAATTTTGTGCTACAAGTCTAGAAATTGAAGAAAAAAAATTATTATAGAAAATATTTTGAACCATTTGGTTAAGAAGGTGAACAATCTTTATAAACTGAAGGTGCTAAAAGATTTTGGTCTAACCAGAGTGATATATATATTATTTTTATTTGATATCGATATGCGTATTTTACTTGAAAATGCTATTCAGTATATGACGTCACATAACAGGGGTATGGCAGAATCCTATATGGGTGTAGAAATATTAGTTTTCTATATATAAGCTAAAGACAATTATTAATTTTAAATAACTACTACTTTTTTTAAACAAATAGTTTGCCAGAAACTTATCATTATTTAATAAAATAAACTTAAACAAATCTAATAATGATTAAATTTTTTTTAAAATTTTAAGTACTAAAAAATTATAATAGTCTAAAGTTACTAATTGCTATTAGTAATATTAATATTACAAGTGAACTATAGCCTTCTTAATACAGTACAAGTAGGGTGTGGAAAAAAAAGCCTGATCGATTTCGGAATTTTTAAAGGCTGTAAAAATAGTGTTCTACAATTAATACCTAGGCCGAAATTACATATGCAATTAGTATGATAACATATCGGCTGATTTGATTTTTTGGGCCTTTTTTCGATAAACTGTTATATGAAAATTTGCTTCTAAGTGATGTTAAAAAAGAAACAAATGAAGTACTTATTATAACTAACAAAAGAGCTTTTTTAAC